ATGCATCAAACCTTTGAACCCTGTCGTAGCTCAGTCGATTAAGGCAGTGTCTGGGATGCTCCCGGACGCAGGTTCGAATCCTCGTCACGGCCCTTGTGGATTTGTTCATTTTACGGGCTATTCATGCCCGTGCCACCTCTTGGGTGGCTTATTCTTCATCAATTAATCAATCTGTTTGTCTCACTACCCGGTTTGATATTAATGGTCCAGGACAGACCGAAACGTCGTGGTTTCTTAATTTTCTGATGTGTGGTTTGGTCATCCAATTCTTTATTGTTAGTGTAGTTACGAACTGTTATGGGCGTCTTGCTGTCGTCTTGAGAGCAGAGGGAGCATTGTGGGCGAGTGTGATTGATTGTTGTCTGGGATTATTTGAGTGTTCCTTCCCCTCCCCCCCCCCCACACACACACACACACACACACACACACACACACTTGTCCTGTGAGCGGTAGCGCAAGAAGGATTACAGAGTTTTAGTTTCAAAGCGTTATATGACAAAGAGTGCTGGGAAGACGGGACACCACGAGCGTAGCTCTCATCCTGTAACTACACTTAGGTAATTACACTTAGGTAAAAAAAAATAGAGAGCGCAAAAAGGGCCCTCTTTATCAATGGAGTAGAGGGCTGATGTACAGACCTTCTGTGTTAGTGTGAAGGGAGTTAGCGTTGTTGAGAAGTCTTTATTACCTCCCGTTGTCTTGATTTGCCACAATGTACAAAATGCTAACTTACCCAGACGCGCATGAACCCAACCCAACCTTACCTAATCTTACCCAACTTTACCTTACCTAACCAGGGCATAGAAAACGTGGATATTCGTGAGCCGCAACTTTTTTTTTTTAATATATTGTTTTTTACTATTTACATGTTGGGGACATTAGCGTTCAAAATTTGACGAACTAGGAGAGAGAATGGGAGTTTTGACCACTCCGGTAAAAATGCGACGCACTTGAATCTCGAAAAATTAAAGCACCCGTCATATTGCCGTTTTCTATGCATCGGCCTCGATTGTGGTTAGGTAGGTTGCTTGGGTTTGTACGATTCTGGTTAGGCCAAAACAGTTGTATTTTGTTACGTAGTGGCGAATCGAGTGAGAATATGGTTTGAATAATGAAGGCTCCTGTACTTATAGACATTCTCTGCATTCTTAGAGAATAGAAGACTGTATTCAGTAGACAGAAGTTAGGTCTAAGTGTGTCTTACTGTAAGACGCTCTGTATTCTAAAGGAAGACAAGACTTAAGTCTGAATTAATTTAATATTCAGGACATTGTTGGGGGCCCCCCACACCCCCCCCTACCCCCCTCCCCCAACCCTCTATTAAGTTGTAAATTGTCTCGCCACATAAAAGCTTATTGCTACAGCGGCTGACTTCAAGGCTGACTTCCTCAAGGCTGACTTCCTCAAGACTGACTTCCTATTGCTAGAAGTTTTGGCTTAAAAATCCTAGTATTGTGGTTGGTCTCCATTTTCATTTAATTTCCCCTACCATAATAGGAGCTATAAATCTTATTAAATTTCAAAATTCCAAATATTTAATGTTTTATATATTAAATCACTGCTTATCCTCACTGGGCACTGTATCTCTGCTTACACTCACTGGGCACTGTATCTCTGCTCACACTCACTGGGCACTGTATCTCTGCTTACACTCACTGGGCACTGTATCTCTGCTTACACTCACTGGGCACTGTATCTCTGCTTACACTCACTGGGCACTGTATCTCTGCTTACACTCACTGGGCACTGTATCTCTGCTTACACTCACTGGGCACTGTATCTCTGCTTACACTCACTGGGCACTGTATCTCTGCTTACACTCACTGGGCACTGTATCTCTGCTTACACTCACTGGGCACTGTATCACTGCTTACACTCACTGGGCACTGTATCTCTGCTTACACTCACTGGGCACTGTATCTCTGCTTACACTCACTGGGCACTGTATCTCTGCTTACACTCACTGGGCACTGTATCTCTGCTTACACTCACTGGGCACTGTATCTCTGCTTACACTCACTGGGCACTGTATCTCTGCTTACACTCACTGGGCACTGTATCTGTATCTCTGCTTACACTCACTGGGCACTGTATCTCTGCTTACACTCACTGGGCACTGTATCTCTGCTTACACTCACTGGGCACTGTATCTCTGCTTACACTCACTGGGCACTGTATCTCTGCTTACACTCACTGGGCACTGTATCTCTGCTTACACTCACTGGGCACTGTATCTCTGCTTACACTCACTGGGCACTGTATCTCTGCTTACACTCACTGGGCACTGTATCTCTGCTTACACTCACTGGGCACTGTACTGTCATCTCTGCTTACACTCACTGGGCACTGTATCACTGCTTACACTCACTGGGCACTGTATCTCTGCTTACACTCACTGGGCACTGTATCTCTGCTTACACTCACTGGGCACTGTATCTCTGCTTACACTCACTGGGCACTGTATCTCTGCTTACACTCACTGGGCACTGTATCACTGCTTACACTCACTGGGCACTGTATCACTGCTTACACTCACTGGGCACTGTATCTCTGCTTACACTCACTGGGCACTGTATCTCTGCTTACACTCACTGGGCACTGTATCACTGCTTACACTCACTGGGCACTGTATCACTGCTCACACTCACTGGGCACTGTATCACTGCTTACACTCACTGGGCACAGTATCACTGCTTACACTCACTGGGCACTGTATCACTGCTTACACTCACTGGGCACTGTATCACTGCTTACACTCACTGGGCACTGTATCACTGCTTACACTCACTGGGCACTGTATCACTGCTTACACTCACTGGGCACTGTATCACTGCTTACACTCACTGGGCACTGTATCACTGCTTACACTCACTGGGCACTGTATCACTGCTTACACTCACTGGGCACTGTATCACTGCTTACACTCACTGGGCACTGTATCACTGCTTACACTCACTGGGCACTGTATCACTGCTTACACACTCACTGGCTTACACTCACTGGGCACTGTATCACTGCTTACACTCACTGGGCACTGTATCACTGCTTACACTCACTGGGCACTGTATCACTGCTTACACTCACTGGGCACTGTATCACTGCTTACACTCACTGGGCACTGTATCACTGCTTACACTCACTGGGCACTGTATCACTGCTTACACTCACTGGGCACTGTATCACTGCTTACACTCACTGGGCACTGTATCACTGCTTACACTCACTGGGCACTGTATCACTGCTTACACTCACTGGGCACTGTATCACTGCTTACACTCACTGGGCACTGTATCACTGCTTACACTCACTGGGCACTGTATCACTGCTTACACTCACTGGGCACTGTATCACTGCTTACACTCACTGGGCACTGTATCATCACTCACTGGGCACTGTATCACTGCTTACACTCACTGGGCACTGTATCACTGCTTACACTCACTGGGCACTGTATCATGCTTACACCACTGCTCACACTCACTGGGCACTGTATCACTGCTTACACTCACTGGGCACTGTATCACTGCTTACACTCACTGGGCACTGTATCACCGGCTTACACTCACTGGGCACTGTATCACTGCTTACACTCACTGGGCACTGTATCACTGCTTACACTCACTGGGCACTGTATCACTGCTTACACTCACTGGGCACTGTATCACCGGCTTACACTCACTGGGCACTGTATCACTGCTTACACTCACTGGGCACTGTATCACCGGCTTACACTCACTGGGCACTGTATCACCGGCTTACACTCACTGGCCACTGTATCACTGCTTACACTCACTGGGCACTGTATCACTGCTTACACTCACTGAGCACTGTATCACCGGCTTACACTCACTGGGCACTGTATCACTGCTTACACTCACCGGGCACTGTATCACCGGCTTACACTCACTGGGCACTGTATCACCGGCTTATACTCACTGGACACTGTATCACTGTATCATTGCTTATACTCACTGGGCACTGTATCACCGGCTTACACTCACTGGGCACTGTATCACTGCTTACACTCACTGGGCACTGTATCACCGGCTTACACTCACTGGGCACTGTATCACTGCTTACACTCACTGGGCACTGTATCACTGCTTACACTCACTGGGCACTGTATCACCGGCTTACACTCACTGGGCACTGTATCACTGCTTACACTCACCGGGCACTGTATCACCGGCTTACACTCACTGGGCACTGTATCACCGGCTTACACTCACTGGGCACTGTATCACTGCTTACACTCACTGGGCACTGTATCACCGGCTTACACTCACTGGGCACTGTATCACTGCTTACACTCACTGGGCACTGTATCACTGCTTACACTCACTGGGCACTGTATCACTGCTTACACTCACTGGGCACTGTATCACTGCTTACACTCACTGGGCACTGTATCACTTCTTACACTCACTGGGCACTGTATCACTGCATACACTCACTGGGCACTGTATCACTTCTTACACTCACTGGGCACTGTATCACTGCATACACTCACTGGGCACTGTATCACTTCTTACACTCACTGGGCACTGTATCACTGCTTACACTCACTGGGCACTGTATCACTTCTTACACTCACTGGGCACTGTATCACTGCTTACACTCACTGGGCACTGTATCACTTCTTACACTCACTGGGCACTGTATCACTGCTTACACTCACTGGGCACTGTATCACTGCTTACACTCACTGGGCACTGTATCACTTCTTACACTCACTGGGCACTGTATCACTGCTTACACTCACTGGGCACTGTATCACTTCTTACACTCACTGGGCACTGTATCACTGCATACACTCACTGGGCACTGTATCACTGCTTACACTCACTGGGCACTGTATCACTTCTTACACTCACTGGGCACTGTATCACTGCTTACACCCACTGGGCACTGTATCACTGCTTACACTCACTGGGCACTGTTTCACTGTTTACAGGAACTGACGACTGTCGCATCACAGATGACTGTTGATGGCACTGTGGCTACAACACGCGGTCACTGTCGCGGTCACTGTCGTGGTCACTGTAGCGGTCGTTGCGGAGAGCCGCGGCCGTGTTTGAATTAGCCGCAAGTTGTTCTATAGACATAAAAGACATCAGAAAAGTCACTGAAAACGTGCAGAAGGCCAATTAGCTCACACGCGGCTGTTCTTATGAACACGTAGTTGAGTTTTGTTCATGTTCATATATACAGGAAGTTCTACAAATTTCCAGTTCGAATATATTTCGGAAAATCTAATAAAATTGAGCAACAGTTTACAGAGGTTGAGTGAGGGGAGCAAGATCTACTTAATTGTAGAATCCCACACGTGTAAAATTATTCACAAATGTATCTTATAATCTCATACTTTTTTGTTTTCCTAGGTAGGTAAATATTTTCTAATCGTCTGTGTCTTTAAGTATAGGACAAAAGAAAGCTGTTATTCCCCCCCTCAAACTTGACTTTGGTCATTGTCTTAGCTTTGGGAAGATGTCTAATGAAGGGTACTTAAAGGTGCAGGCGATGAGTCACAATAACGTGGCTAAGGTATGTTGACCAGACCACACACTAGAATGTGAAGGGACGGCGACGTTTCGGTCCGTCCTGGACCATTCTCAAGTCGAAACGTCGTCGTCCCTTCACATTCTAGTGTGTGGTCTGGTCAACAAGGTACTTGAAGGTAGTTGTGGAAAGGCGTCCGCAGCCTTGAAGACACCTTGAAGAGATTACACCTCTAAGCTGTCTAAAGCAGAGATCATAGCCAAGATTCCCATTTCTTACAGTTAGGAGGCATATATGTGGGCCTTTGGGGACATAAAGCACTTCGAAGCTCGCGCACTAACAAGGGACCAAAAAAAATATTACATAGTGAACAAATCCACAAGGGCCGTGATGGGGGTTCGAACCTACGTCCGAGAGGACCCCAGACGCTGTCTTAATCGACTGAGAATCCCTTGTGGATTTGTTCATTTGATGCATCACGCTATTGTGATTTCTGTGTGTAATATTACATAGTGTTACTTTTTTTTTAACCAGTTGTCACACGAGCGGGCCAGCCAGCCTCTGGTGGTTGGCGAGTGAAAGAACCAGTCACTCCGGTGTGGGGATAGTGTCAAACACCCCAAGTTTAACATCAGATTTAAGGTGTACGTGGGAAGATTCATGATTTTCCCCGAAGGTTTTTGCCAAAGATGGCAAAGTTGTGGTGACATTTATAGTGGTACACCCCCCAGGAGGCCTGGTCGACGACCGGGCCGCGGGGACGCTAAGCCCCGGAAGCACCTATAATGACACGTTCATAACCTGTAGATTATAGTTACTAATTTTATATGTTTCGTAAGCAAGAGATCTATCATTAGGTTATCTTGAGATGATTTCGGGGCTTAGCGTCCCCGCGGCCCGGTCCTCGACCAGGCCTCCTTTTTGTTACACATCCCCAGGAAGGAGCCCGTAGCTGCTGTCCAACTCCCAGGTACTTATTTACTGCTAGGTAAGAGGGGCATAAGGGTGAAAAAGAAACTTTTTGCCCATTTGTCTCCGCCTCCACCGGGGATCGAATCCGGAACTACGAATACAAAGCGCTGTACACTCAGCTGTCAGGCGCCCATGAGATGTTGGAGATGTTGACAGTTTAGACAGGAGGAGTGTTAGGTTTAGAATTACAAAATCTTCAAACATATCCTTAGGAGATCTATATATATATATATATATATATATATATATATATATATATATATATATATATATAATATATAATATATATTCTCAGGTGTTTTAATGTTCGCAGTCAGAAAGGTCGCGGGACCTCCACTACCCGGACTCTGTCTTAGCCTTTGGAGTCAACATGATGATGAGTAACTCATCACCAGGCTGCTGTTTACATTACACGAGGATGCTGGTGGTCGCAGCTTCACTACACACTCATCACCATTAAATGTTGGCAGGGTTGGGTTCCCGCTCCTGTTGGTCACTTGTGGGGGATGGTAGACACCGGCTGGCTACCCTTCTCCCTAACGTCATATTGAAAATAATAATTAATAATAATTAATGCTGTGAGATGCTTGACAGGTTGCCAAATGCAGCATTAAAGGCAATTACTGTGGCAGTCGTTTTCTATAAACCTTAACAGGTAACAATATACCGAGTAAAAACATTTAAAGGAAGCTTATATCCTGTCAATTATAAATCAATGCGGTGTGCTCACCCCCATACAGTGCAATATAATGATGAGAACGCTAACTAAAGGATTAAACCCCTACACGTATGACCCTTTGTTGATATGTTGCTAAATCTGTCAAAGGGAAAGGGAGCAGGCAACTTGACCACTTTGAGAGAGAGCCAACCAGAATCCCACCCTCTCTCCCCTCCTCGAAGTCTGGCTTGGAGAGTAGAATAACTCTTAGAACAAATTGCAGGTAAACTACAGGCAAGATAGATTTAGGTTCTGAAGAACTGAGTCTTCTTGCCGAGGATAGCATGCAAGGTTTCAGGACGATTTTATTTTCAGTTACAGGAGGAGATCAAGCATTAAAATGAGAGGCTGATAAACTGGGGGAGATAAGTCTCTCCTTCAGTCAGTTGTTGGGTCTACTTGTTCCGGCCGAGGCTGCTCGTTATTGGGGGTTCTCGTGCTGCTGCTGCTGCTGTTATAGATTCAGCTACTCGGAACCAGTTCCAAGTAGCACGGGCTATGGTGAGCCCGTAACTTACCTGGCATAGGAGCTGGCCATGTAGCACGGGCTATGGTGAACCCGTAGTGGACTTACTGGCACAGGAGCGGTGCTGTGAGGGTTCTCGTGCGTTCATACTCGTTCATATACAAGGACGTCAATGAACGCATAATTTTTGTCATCCTCGGCACAGTCAGACCACCTCACCTTATATAGAGATAATGCCCTTTTGTAGCTGGTGTTGTGATCACCAATATCTTCACTTAACCAGTATTTTAATTATCATGGGGGGGGAGGGGGAGGAGGGAATTATCAGGGTGGGGGGAAAGCGCCAAGCCATTACGACTATATAGCACTTAGCAACCCGTTCTCGCAAATTTAATAAGTCAATATTGACTTATTAAATATGTGCATAGGTGATATACTTAACATAATAGATACCCTTAAAAAGATTCATAGAAAACACCGACCTTACCTAACCTTGTTAGTATCTTAAGATAAGCATCTTATTGCTTCGTAATTACAATTATTACCTAACCTATAATAGGTATAGGTTAAGTAATAATTGTAATTACGAAGCAATAAGATGCTTATCTTAAGATACTAACAAGGTTAGGTAAGGTCGGTGTTTTCTATGAATCTTTTTAGGGGTATCTATTATGTTTAGTATATCACCTATGCACGTAGTTAATAAGTCAATAATTGACTTTACGAATTTGCGAGAACGGGTTGCACTTAGAAGGGGTCGGGATAAGGGTTTGGGATGGGACGGGGAGGGAAGGAATGGTGTTCAACCACTTTGGACGGTCGGGGACTGAACACCGACCTGCATGAAGCGAGACCGTCGCTCTATAATCCAACCCAAGTGATTGGACGATGGGGGAAGGGAGTAACCCCTAATTGTTGGAAAGAGCTTTAGAGCCAAAAGCTTTAACGTTGTGACTCGAAAACTGGTGCACTTTGTACACTCGAGAACACGCCCTCTCTTCTCTAGCATGCCTGGATGTTATACTAGGTCACTGTGTCTCACCAGGGGTTCCGGGAGAGGTCACACAGGTCAGGGAAGCCGGTCGGCCGAGCGGACAGCACGCTGGACTTGTGATCCTGTGGTCCCGGGTTCGATTCCGGGCGCCGGCGAGAAACAATGGGCAGAGTTTCTTTCACCCTATGCCCCTGTTACCTAGCAGTAAAATAGGTACCTGGGTGTTAGTCAGCTGTCACGGGCTGCTTCCTGGGGGGTGGAGGCCTCGTCGAGGACCGGGCGGCGGGGACACTAAAGCCCCGAAATCATCTCAAGATGACCTCAAGATAACCCATGCAGGGGTTCCGGGAGAGATATTTCCACAAGTTCTGCAGAAAATGTTACAGACTTCTCTGTTGCTTTTTCTGTTTTCCTTTCTGTTGAATACTGTTGCACAATGACAGCCCCTTTCAAAGCTGTGAAATTGTTGACCTAAAGAACGTACAGAGATTCTTTACTGCTAGAATCCACTCAGTAAAACATCTAAACTACTGGGACCGACTAAAGAGCCTAAATCTGTATTATTTTGAGCGCAGGCGGGAGAGATACAAAATAATTTACACGTGGACAATAGTAGAGGGGCTGGTCCCAAACCTGCACACAGAAATAACACCACATGAGACCAGGAGGCATGGCAGGATGTGCAGAATACCCCCGTTGAAGAGCAGAGGTGCAACAGGTACTCTGAGAGAGAACTCTATCAACACCAGAGGCCCGAGACTGTTCAACACGCTTCCACTACACATAAGGGGCATAACTGGCAAACCCCTCACAGTGTTCAAGAGAGAACTGGATAAGCACCTCCAAAGGATACCTGATCAACCAGGCTGTGATTCACCCGTCAGGCTGCCAGCAGCCGCGCCCAACAGCCTCGTTGACCAGCAACGAGGAGGTCGACGACCGGGCCGTGGGGGACGCTAAGCCCCGGAAGATGACCACAAGCAAGGGTACAAAAGTCGTTGAGAAACTGTTCTAGACTGTTTAGGACATTGGTACCAACGAGACATAATATTATTCCAGCATCTTTGTAAGTGAAAATAATATTTCCATATTTCAGAAACCAAAACAATCATTCCATACAATGTGAAGATTACAGAAAGGTGTACAGCGTATAATAAGTTTAACACCACAACCGAACAGTATGATGACACATTGTATAATGAATATTGAAACATTCTGAGTGATGCATCTCTGTCAACGACCTGGTGATGCAAGCAGCATACAGATCTGAGGGAGACAACCTGATGGGCCACAGTGGTCACCCAGCTGGTCCACTGGTGAGCCACAGTGGTCACCCAGCTGGTCCACTAGTGGGCCACAGTGGTCACCCAGCTGGTCCACTGGTGGGCCACAGTGGTCACCCAGCTGGTCCACTGGTGGGCCACAGTGGTCACCCAGCTGGTCCACCGGTGGGCCACAGTGGTCACCCAGCTGGTCCACTAGTGGGCCACAGTGGTCACCCAGCTGGTCCACTGGTGAGCCACAGTGGTCACCCAGCTGGTCCACTAGTGGGCCACAGTGGTCACCCAGCTGGTCCACTGGTGGGCCACAGTGGTCACCCAGCTGGTCCACTGGTGGGCCACAGTGGTCACCCAGCTGGTCCACTGGTGGGCCACAGTGGTCACCCAGCTGGTCCACTGGTGGGCCACAGTGGTCACCCAGCTGGTCCACTGGTGGGCCACAGTGGTCACCCAGCTGGTCCACTCGTGGGCCACAGTGGTCACCCAGCTGGTCCACTGGTGGGCCACAGTGGTCACCAGCTGGTCCACTAGTGGGCCACAGTGGTCACCCAGCTGGTCCACTGGTGGGCCACAGTGGTCATCCAGCTGGTCCACTGGTGGGCCACAGTGGTCATCCAGCTGGTCCACTGGTGGGCCACAGTGGTCACCCAGCTGGTCCACTGGTGGGCCACAGTGGTCACCCAGCTGGTCCACTGGTGGGCCACAGTGGTCACCCAGCTGGTCCACTGGTGGGCCACAGTGTGGGCGGGCTTCCATCTTGACGGCGCTCATAAACGCCGCCGTCACCAGCCGGGAGGTGGTCACAGCCGTCACCAGCTGGGAGGTGGTCACAGCCGCCACCAGCTGAGAGGTGGTCACAGCCGTCACCAGCTGGGAGGTGGTCACAGCCGTCACCAGCTGGGAGGTGGTCACAGCCGCCACCAGCTGAGAGGTGGTCACAGCCGTCACCAGCTGGGAGGTGGTCACAGCCGTCACCAGCTGAGAGGTGGTCACAGCCGTCACCAGCTGAGAGGTGGTCACAGCCGTCACCAGCTGGGAGGTGGTCACAGCCGTCACCAGCTGAGAGGTGGTCACAACCGTCACCAGCTGGGAGGCGGTCACAGCCGTCACCAGCTGGGAGGTGGTCACAGCCGCCACCAGCTGAGAGATGGTCACAGCCGTCACCAGCTGGGAGGTGGTCACAGCCGTCACCAGCTGGGAGGCGGTCACAGCCGTCACCAGCTGAGAGGTGGTCACAGCCGTCACCAGCTGGGAGGCGGTCACAGCCGTCACCAGCTGGGAGGCGGTCACAGCCGTCACCAGCTGAGAGGCGGAGTGGGAGCTGGGGTCCACAGCCCTTGTGTCAGTAGGGACCTCTGCATGTGGTCCGAGTTAACTATTCTTGCCAAGTTTAGTGCCATCTTAGGGACAAGTTTAGTGCCACCTTAGGGACAAGTTTAGTTCCATCTTAGGGACAAGTTTAGTGCCACCTTAGGGCCAAGTTTAGTTCCATCTTAGGGACAAGTTTAGTGCCACCTTAGGGCCAAGTTTAGTTCCATCTTAGGGACAAGTTTAGTGCCATCTTAGGGACAAGTTCAGTGCCATCTTAGGGACAAGTTCAGTGCCATCTTAGGGACAAGTAGATGAGCGTGATATAGCCCGTTAACTGTGCTCACCTAGTTGTGCTTGTGGGGATTGAGCTCTGGCTCTTTGGTCCCGCCTCTCAATTGTCAATCAACTGGTGTACAGATTCCTGAGCTTACTGGGCTCTATCATATCTACACTTGAAGCTGTGTATGGAGTCAGCCTCCACCACATCACTTCCTAATGCATTCCATTTGTTAACTACTGTGACACTGAAACAGTTCTTTCTAATGTGTCTGTGGCTCATTTGGGCACTCGGTTTTCACTGTGTCCCCTTGTGCGTGTGCCCCGTGTGTTAAATAAATTGTCCTTGTCTACCCTATCAATTCCTTTGGGAATCTTGTCTGTGATGATCATGTCCCCCCTAACTTTCCTGTCTTCCAGTGACGTGAAGTTTAATTCCCGTAGTCTTTCCTCATAGCTCATGGCCCCCCTCAGCTCGGGTACTAGTCTGGTGGCAAACCTTTGAACCTTCTCCAATTTAGTTTTATA